GATCTGATCCAAGATGGCAGCTGCACTGTCTGAAGAGGCTACAAATGGCCCTTCTTAAACTAAGGTAGATACTGTGTCACTGAGTTCCAGCGGGTGTGTAATCTCTTAATTAAAATTAGTTCACAAGTGGTATTTCCTTTCCTAATCCAGCTTTCAAGCTTTGCTTTCTGTGCAAATCTCTCTCTTTATTCCTTTCAAAGGGTTAGAAATCCTTTTAATATTTAATTGGCTTTTAAATTATTTACACATCAAAGTGTTCAATATATTGTTGTCCTTTAAAAAGCAAGTGCCTAGTGGAGTTCCTGGCTAGTGTTCCAAGGTATTAGCTTAGACACCATTAGAAAAATGGTCATAGAGAGAAGAGAAGTCAGGACAATCGTATTTTAGAGACAGAAATCCCTTGGTACTAGCTAATTGGATCACACACACTTTTTGTCTACTTCCCAGGTTTTAGAAGTATTTAAATCTGAAATCTTTTTTTTTTTCTTTTTATCTTTTTTTTTTTTTTTTAAAGGTTTTTGCTATAGGTCTTGTGCAAAAGACAGAGACAATGAGAGGCAAGTGAGAAATCACCCCCACCTCGGGGTGGGAGGAGATGGCCATGCTGTATTCTCTTTTCCTCCATTTTCCTCCTGGGATTTTGGGCACAGATGCACACCCACCCCACATGATTTTCAAGCCACCTGGTCTGGGACTTGAACTGCTATCAGCCATGTGGAAGTCCAGTGCCTTAACTACCATGCCACCTCTTGGCTCCCTATGTATGTGTGCGTGTGTGTGCGTATATATGTGTGTGTGTGTGTATATTTATATGTGTAAAGTAATAGTAATATTAGGTAATTAATTATGCTCCCTAAGGAAAAGGTCATAACTTGAACTTCATATTATCTAACAAGGAAACTCATTTTTCCCCTCAAGATCAATTCCATGTATCATGGCTTTGTGAGCAACTGGCTAGGTCTTTGCCTGTGAGCCAGAGAAAAGGAAACCAGAAATCTTTTTGTTTTCTACAAAAGATGAAACCAGAAGTTCATGGCCATTTTATGGTTAGTAGCAACCCAGGTAATCTTCTTTGGGCACCAAGATAGCTACATTGACTATCTGCTTTGGTCAGATGACCCTACAACTATGAAAGCACATGTTTGCTTTGTGTCATGGAGGCAAGACAGATCCAGAAGGGCTTCAGCTATGAAATTACAGGCTTTCAAGGAGAGCAGCATTAAATAAATTGTGGGGCCATCTTAGGAAGGAGGAGTTTACATCCCCAAAATGAGCCAACCTGTTTTTCTGCTCTTTGCTTAAGGATGTAACTGCTGCTTGGCTGTTGCCACAAATGCATTTTCATCTCCTCTTTTAATCACCCCCATCTTCTCTGAGCCTCTCCCATCCAGCCACTCCTATTCCCTTACCTCTCATTGGACAGGTTCAAAAGGAAGCCTTTGTTTCAAAAGACAAAAACTTGGTGCTGGATATTTGAAATGTGTTGTTGGCTTCAGCCTCTGTGGAAGTTAACGTACTTGCATAGCAGGATAAATAAGCCCTTTTAAGTATGTCTAAGCTGCATCATTACCCAGAGCTACAGGAAAGAAGGAATCAGAACCTTGGATTGTCCATGGTCCCTTTCCAGTGGTTCAGTTAGCAGTTCTACAGAAATGAGATCTTTCTCTATAACTTGGTTAACTGCGTGTAAGTTACAGCATTTAAAGCTTAATTCAGCCCTAGCCTCTGTGATATGGTCAGTAACATACTGGACTGTCCCATTTCAGTTGACCTGAAAACATGCCAGACACGAGTGCGTGTGCCCGGGATCCTGGCAGATAGAAGGAAGAGAATTGCATTGTGACCAAGCCGATAGAGGGTGTTGCTCTCATTCTCACATGTGCACACATCAAATCTATTTTTTTTTTAAAATCCACAGAATTTTGGATGTTATCTATGGTGTTTGAACTTGTCTTCCATTTTTTTAAAAGAGGTGGAATATAAATTAATATTTGAACTTGATGTATCTGAGAAAAAATAGGCTTTTCAAAGAAATTGCTAAGTCAAGCTTCAGTTTGCTTTTAATTACTTTCAGCTGCAGTTCCATATTCTGTGGTTCCCTCTCCTGATACTGGAGGGTTAATGCTCATGTTCAAGTCAAACAAATATTTCTATTTCTATATACCATCTTAATGAGGATTCAGAATAATGGTCTTCAAATAAAGACATTGAGATCGTATCACTATGCCACTGGGACTTCTGCTCAATTCTTTTTCACTAGAGTGTGCTTTTTTGTTTTGTGTTTTTGCTAGAAGTCAAGTGCACTTGCCAGTGTGTGGGGGGGGGGAGGGAAGAGAAAGCACCCCTCCCCAGGGAATGGTCACACTGCAATCCCTTCTCTATCTTATCTCTCTCTCCTTTTGGAATTTGGGCCTGCACACACACATGCCTGGTGTTTCTCAAGCCACCAGGTCTGGGACATGAGCCACATGTATGCCATGAGGGATCTGGTGACTAAAATCACCAGGCCACAGAACCAGTCTTTTACTAATGTTTCTTAAAGAGTCTCTTTGGGTGAATCTATACCATTCAGAGTTCTTTTGTGTGGAAAAGAACAACTCCAAAATCCTAGGCTTTGAAACAGTGGAACAGTAAAGAGGTATGGGCAGTTACCTTCTCTGTGATATTAGGTGGCACAACGGGAAATTGCTGTTTATGTAGCTCAAATACAGCCAAAGAACAGCAATTCATTCGGTTTGTGCTAGTATCAGGAGGACTCAGCCACATTTATCAGAGCACTTAGTTGAGGAAAAAAACAACCCAGAGAAGGTTGTCACTGTCTTTATGCAATGTACACATCAGATCCTGAGTCTTTTTTTTTTTTTTTTTTAATTGCCAGAGTGTGCATATGCTCACCAGAGAGGAAAACAAGATTCCCTCTGGTATGTGGTCATGCCGCAATCCCTTTTCCTCCATTTCTCCATCCTGGCAGGATTCTAGGCATAAATGCACATGTACCTGATGTGTTTTTCAAGCCACTGGGGCCTGGATTTGAACCATCCGGTCAGGATCTTGGGCTCACACTCACACACATACCTGGCATGTTTTCAAGCTGCCAGGTCTGGGACTTGAACTACTCAGTTGTCTAAGACATGGGATCAACAGGCCCCTGGCTTAACTGCTCTGAACACTTTTGAAGCCTTTGTTTGGATGATTTATACCTTATCACTAAGCGTTTACAATTCTGTGACTTTCCTATTCCATGCCATCTTTAAAGGTTAAATTTGATGTTTAGAAATCATTTATAGTTAAATCTGATGAATAGGATATGGGTGGGGAGATGGGGCAAAGCACTGATTAAAATAATAATGTTCAGGGATTTAAAAACAAAAGTATAAAAATTGAAGACTGTGATGGGATGGTTGGTTGCTTTTTTTCCATACAACTTTGGTGTGGATTCCAAAAGGGGCTCTAGAGACATTGAGCTAGACAGTACCATGGGCTCCCAGGAGACTGATTTAAGATGCCGCCCTTACTGGGTGCAGGAGGTCTTGGGTATTTATTTTGGAAACTCGTGAATAAGATTCTGATTATAGGTAGGATAAGAGAGTTGGTTTATCCATGGAAAGTCCATAGATGATAGCTCAACAAAACCCTGTTTTTCTTCCACATTTGGGGTGACCTTTGCTCCCTTCTCCTCACTCGCCTCCCTTTCTCTTGGTCACCTTGGGCAGGGAGGGCCTTGCCTTTGTATTTTACTTGTTCTTGCTTAGGTTGTAGGAGATGACCCTGAATGTGGTGCTTACGTCAGGGCCACAGTGAGACTGCTGCTTGTCTGAAGGCACTGGGCATCATAGCGACAGGAGCTGGGGGACTGGCAGTTGTTCCCAAGTGTGGCCACAGTTAGAATCACCTGGGGAGCAGTTAAAACTCTGGGTGCCCAGGTCCCATCCCCCTCCAACTAAATAACAGTGTTGGTGGGTGGAAGCCAGACAGCAGCAATGAGTTAGACACCTCTGGGGAATTTCTAACACTCAGCCAAGTTTGGGAACTCCTATGAAGGAGGGGAGTGTCCTTCAGAAATGGGAGCAGTTGCCATCTTGCGTTTCCAAGGCAATGTGATGCGTTATAAAGAGCCCTGGGTGCAAAACCAGCCTCTAAACCTGCCGTCTTTGTGACCTTAGCACGTCGTTTCCCCACTCTGGGCCCAGTTTCCTCCTCTATAAAACAGGATAATCACAGTAATAGCTGTCACATAGGGTCATCTTAAAGAACCAAAGAGACATGGGGTCGGCAGGTTGGTGTGGTGGTTGAGAGCGCTGGATTCCCACGTGGCCAACTATGGTTCAAGTTCTGGACCTGGCAGCTTGCTTTCTCGCTTTCCCTTTCTCCCTGTATCTCTGGTCAAATTAAAAATAGTAATGTAAGCAAATGGAATTAAATAATAACTCTTGGGGTGGGGGGAAGAACCTGAGAGACAATGTGTAGAAGTCTTTGGAAATTGTGAAGTGCTGTGCAAATGCTTGTTATTACCAGAGATTATCCTTTTTCAAAAAGGCATTTGTTCTCTAGGCTGCCCAGCAAGGTAGCCGGGATGACTATTAGGGCATTAATTCTTTACCAGTAATGAACCTGCAGGCTGTTTAGGACAAGCGTTTGTTTCCCCTACCTAATAAAGGGGAGCGGCAAGGAGAGGTGGTCTCACCCAGCTTTATGGAACCAGCAGTGAGCTGAGAGAACTGTTGTCTTAGTGCAAGGGACTGTTCCCAGAGCATGAGAAGGAAGGGACACCTGTAAACCATCAGCTTTTGAGCCTGACTTTCATCTTTAGCCTCTGTGTTCATGCATTTTGTTTATGTCACAGGGCATCACCAGCAAGGCCCTAAGGAGGGACAGGGAGTACCCCATCCACTGGGGCCCACATGGTCATTTCTGTCAGTGTCACTGTGGTGTCTTGTGCAGGGATGGGATGTGGCTCTTTGGAGTGCAAATACGTTTTTTCCTTGACTTGTCCTCCCCAGGGATTTGAAGTTGGATGGAGGGAGACAATCAACAGGCGCCATGAGCTTGAAAGAGATCATTGGTCTCGAAGGTGTGGAGCTGGGTGCTGATGGGAAGGTAAGGCCATCTGGCTCCAAGTCACCAGGTGTGTGCCGATGCCACAGCGGCCAGGTAGCAGAGCAGCACAACATAACATAAGCCTCAGGGTGGGAAAAACAAGGCCTGGGGTTGATAGCCAGCATGTTATGCCAGCCTGTCCCAGCTTCCCCAGGTGCAGACGAATGTCCACGGAGCAGCAGCATGGTGGAGTCCCCAGAGCATGTGTATCTCCCTGCCAGTGCCATTTACCACCAAATGTGTGACACTTATGAATATCTCAGATGTGCATGTGCATGCACACACAGAGATGCACATTCCAGGATAGGGTGACATGTGATTTGAGCATGTATTACTGGTGGCATCAGCAAGCAGCACCCTGGCTGCTAGAAAGTTCATTAGCTTCCCATGGTCCAAGAGCTCCACAGCCTCACAAAGTGACCACCAAGCAGCAGGGTTGTCATTTTTCTCTTTCATCCACAACACAGTGAGCTGTGTGGTTAAAGTCTGCGGAGCGAAAGGTTAAAAGACGAAGTGGACCTTGTGTGCTGGGTCCAGGGAGTCAGTCCTTTGGAACCCTCACAAAGCCTGTTTATGGCAGCCATGCAAGGGTTTCTCTGGGGAAACCATCCCAGGTAGTTTGCTTGCAGGTGATGCTGCTGAGAAGGCAGATGACCTTTCCCCTGCCCATCGCCAGAGCAGCTGGTCACCTCTGTGCCCAAACACTATCACTCCGGAATTTGAGGTGCAGATAAGCGTGTGTGCAAGGCACGTCCCAGTGCAGGTGAGAAGATGTGCACTTGCTCTGTCTTCATTCCTGAGGGGTGAGCGTTCACACAGGAATGAGGGAGGAGGGCAAGGAGTTGAGCATCATAAACAGCCTCTGCCAGAGGAACCTGGTGCAGTCCATGACCCTTACCTGACACTGAGGACTTGATGTGTTCTGGAATCCTGCACTGGGTGGATTATACAGAGTAGTACAACGCGTGCCTTGTGTGTTACACAACATCCCAACAGGTTCTGAGTGGTTCCTTGCTGTCACACATGTTCATATTTCTGCCACATAACAGGACTAGTCAGGCCAAGTGGAATACATTGAAACTACATACAGTTTTAAGTCAGCTCAGGTTAAGCTTTGACCCAAATGTGTGCCAAAACAAATCGCATTTTTGAGATTGCATTGAATTTTAGAACGGCAAATAAGAGAAAGTAGACCTGAACTTAGAGTGGTAACGCTGCTGTTAGAATGCTAGCCTAGCATTGTCTGGGAATAATCACTGGCTTGTTTTTGTCTTCACCTTTTAGACTGTGTCTTATACTCAATTTCTGTTACCCACAAATGCCTTTGGAGCCCGGAGAAATACCATAGACTCCACCTCCTCCTTCTCCCAGTTCCGTAACCTGAGTCACCGTAGCCTCTCCATAGGCCGAGGGAGCAGCACTCAGGGGAGCCTCGATGCAGGTAACCACAGCCTGGCTGCATCCAGGAGCTCTTACAGGAGGTGCCTCAGTCTGGAGTGGGAAGCGAGTCTCCCCGCTGAGCAGATGGAGGGCAGGTACCTGCAGAATGTGAGCTCATCCTCTAGGAGACATGACACTTGGGAAAGCCCAATCTCATCTTCTCTCTAATGAGGTGCCTCCATTGCTGACCTCCTGACCTTCCGCACCAAGAAATTCCAGGGCCATCCACACCAGAGATGTCCCAGCTCCTCTCAGCCACTCATGTCTGCCTCCACCTGGCGCTGGTCTACCTTGCCATACCCTCAGGTGTGGCTGGGCCTGAAGCACAGGATTAGGTGTGGGGTTTTGCTCGGTGATTGTCAGTGAGCAAGTCGAGTCGGCCTCTGAAGGAAGACTTGTATCCTCCCCACTCTGCTTGTACCAACTTTTGTATAGCATTGGCACAAGGGGGAAACCTTTATGAAACAGTATTTCTACTCTTAGGGAAATTTCAACTGAATGTGAAGTTCCCTAAGCCTGTCCAAGTGCTGTTCTAACGTTCGGGCCACCTTTGTCATTTACAGCTGTATTGGGGTGGCTGCCCTAATTTGCGTACACGCAGTAGTCTGTCCAGGAGCGTTCACTCCACCTCCTGCCTCCTGGACAGCACCACCTGAGTTTCCTAATTTGATCTGCCCGTTTAGAAAATGAGCCTTTTGGGGGCCAGCAGGTGTTGTGGTGGTTAAGGCGCTGACTCCCACATGGCCAACTATGTTTCAAGTCCCAGACCTGGTGGCTTGCTCTCTCACTCCCTCTCTCTATTTCTTTCTGGTGAGCAGATGTGCCATATAGCAAACTTATAATAATAATAAAAACAATAATAATAAGTAAACTTGTTAAAAAGGAAAGAGGAAGAACTGTCAGAGAGCATCACAAGCAGTCTCTTCATGCCACCATCCACCCTAAGCCTCAGCCAGTTTGGATCACAGGAATGCATGTACTTGGCATATAGAATGCCGTTCTGGGACGTGAACTGGGAACCTTCCCGAGGTCCAGTTTTGTTACTGCTGCGCCACCATCTGCTCCCTAATACTCTCTGTATCTTGCATACTGTGTAAAGTTTTGTACCCTCCTGGGCCAGAGAGAGAAATAATTTTCTGAAATGTTAAGATGGCGATCCCTTTTGTGGGGGGATTTACTTCCCTGGCCTGTGGAGACATCTCTGTACTAAAAGTCAGAGCCAGTAATGTGACGCAGAGCTAAATGACTTGAAGCCAACTTCTCTAACCCCTAATTGACATTTCGCCTGTGATCTTCAGGTAGCGACCTGGGAGACTTTATGGACTACGACCCAAATCTCTTGGATGACCCCCAGTGGCCTTGTGGCAAGCACAAACGAGTTCTGATCTTCCCTTCATACATGGTGAGTAGTGCTAGGTGGATAGCTGGTTTGCCCATCCCCTAGCTGTCCTGGAACGGCTCAGTGGTGGCTTGTTTGCATTAACTGCCTGGTGTTGCGGGGCTTGTTCAAGCACTGCTGTGCCTGGGGGACCTTTCTGGGAGCTCTCCAACGTGGTTGCTTACGGAAGGACCAGCACTAGTACTCTGCTGACTGCCTGACCTGTGAGCTCCACTTCCAGGAAGATTGAAGAGGCTGCGTTGCCAGTGTCCGTGAAAGCCCCCAGCTTAGGTTGGGGGGCCCTCATCTCTGAGGAAGGATGTCCAAGCTTGTATAATCACAGATGTCTCTAGGGCAGAACCAGGCCTAGCCCTGTGGGTGCTGAGTTCAAGCCCTGCTCTGCCTGGAGATCCTGGGTGACCCCAGGCCTCATGTGTACTCTGAGCAAACATTCAGCACTAGGGTGGGGGTGACAGCATTATCTCTTGGGAAAGCAAAAGTAGGACACTGTGGGTGGTGAATGCAAAACCTTTGCTGTTTTTATTCTGTGGACACTTCCTGTTTTCCCTTTCTGTAATTTTGGTTTCTGCTTCTGGCTGACCATTTCCCACTACTGAGGGCTGCTTCATTTCTCCAGACTCCCTGAGGAACCTGCCAGGGGCCTGTGGACTTTCTTTGAATAGTCTTGCCTGACTTGGAGGCAAACAGAGCCCTAGCTAATGGAGAACGAATTGACCAGCCTGCTAGGCAAGCATCAGGTGGGGAGCACTAGCCCAGGTGCCCGCAGCGCCTCCTGCCTTCTGCACACTGGCTCTACTAGCCAGGCCTGACGGGACGGGCCCAGCCCAGCACTTCCTCCCTGGGCCCCTCCCTCCTGTGCTCCAGCCTGTGCTGTTCTCAGGAGCCCTAGTCTGGAGAGTAAGCAGGATGGTGGGGGTGAGAGTACAGGATGGGGAAGGTCCCTTTTTTCTTCTAAGCTCTTGAGCCTACAGAAGCCAGAGCGGGCACCAACCCCATGTAATCCAAGGGCATCTGGAACCTCACTCAGAGCACTGTGCTCAGCTGTTCGTCAGGCAGAGCTCGCACCCTTGCCAGTACTTTCAGTGTATAGTATATTCGCCTCTGACTTGGGCGGTGGTTCAAAAGTCATTCTAATACCTCACATGGAATCCAAGTGAACTTCCAAAGGTGTTTAGTTTAAAATCAACCCTACTGGGGCCTGCAGGTGGCTTGGTGGTTAAGGGTGCTGGATTCCCACATGGCTGACTGACTGTGGTTTGAGTCCCAGACCTGGCTGCTTTCTCTCTCTCACTCACTCTATCCCTCACTGGGATATCCCTCAAATTGAAATAAATAAATGAATGAATAAAGTTAAATAAAATATTTTTTTAATTATCCTACTACTCATTTATGCACATCCCCCCAAACACAGAAAGGAAAACCACAACCATGTTCAGTTCATTGTTTTCACTTTATGACGTGTTTATTTTAAAAAAACAGGGCTTCTCCAGAGGCTAGCACACAGTAAGTGTCCAATAAATGACCAGAATCATGGTTCTTATGTTAAGGAGGAAGCAACTGAAAGATCATCACTATACAAGAATAAAAATAGGAATAAGAATCTTTTTCTTTTCTTTTTTAAAATTTTCTAGTCAGGACTTGAACTGTGCAGTTGGCCATGCGGGATCCAGCACTTTAACCACCATGACCAAGAATAAGGATTCTTTCTGTGGGTCACTGCTTTATTTATAAAAAGACACACTTTGTTTGCTGAGTAGCTTGGGCAGGAAACTATGGTTCTGAGAATCCAAGTGAGGCTCTTGCCATTGTCAGACTGGAAGTGGGGAGTGAGGCCGCAATTCCTGGCCCGGGGCTCTTTCCATGTAGCCGTTAGTGTCCAAATCCTACCTTCCTCAGCCGATAGCAGCAGAGCGGCCGACCTGAGGGTGGGACATGAAAGTGATTCCCCAGTAGATCCGTAGGTCACCAAGAGAATAAGAGGATACCTATTTCTGATTGATGTTGGGGTTTGGTGGGGAGCCCTCCTGTAGACATGCTATGTCTAGTGATAACACTGGCCTCTCCTTGTGTAGACCTGAGGTGAGGCTGAGCTGATTTTTTTCTTTCAATGACTTCATCGTAAACTTTGAAGTTGTGGTCTGTGTCGTGTGTGTGAGTGTGCACGTGTGTAATTCTTCCTCCTTGGGCAGTGTGCTAGGTGACTTTCCATGTCACCATATAGGTCCTACCTTCCTCATTTTGTGTTCTCAAAAGTGGATCATTTTTCATTTCACCATACTGGCACTGCAGTCTGTGCTTCCTAAAACAAACCACATTTTAGAGAACGAAATTGTTCATTTCCTGGTCAGCTTTCAAAGACCTGTATGTTCTTCTAGTCTTTTCACAGATACTGGTACTTTGATAAAATACAGGAAATCCACCCAGTTACCGTCAGTACAAAGAGCCTCAGCCCAGGTCTCTGGAGACTTTTACCATCAGTACATTGTGTTACAAAGAGCCCAACCCAAGTCTCTGGAGACTTCCTTTCTAGAAGCAGCCATGGGTTTTGGGCGGTTTCTCATATATTGGCATTAAACTTGTAGGAACGAGAACAGGGACATTGACTATCATTGTGAGGAGGGCGAGGAAGGAGCCATCTTGGAAAAGTGGTAGGAGAGGATGGGGAGAGTTGAAGGTGGGCTTCAATTCTTAGGCCTCAAGGAAGGCCTCGCTGAGGAAATGGCATTGAAGTGGGCATAGAGGAGTGAGGAGGGGCAGCCATGGCAGGTTTTGCTAGGGAGAGCCCCTGTGAGAATACCCTGAAGTGAGAAAGAAGTCGACTGTGTGTCAAACTGCCCTTCCCTCTCCACACACATGCACTCACGCACACACAGGAGGCTGAGCCCACAGAGCAGTGATCCTGACATCCTTCTTTCTACCCTGCAATGCTCTGGGTGCAGGGATCTATCTGGATGCCTGCCAAGGTAGGTGTCAAGAGCTACCAGGTTCTTTGCACCAGGCTGTGGAAGGCCCATCCATGTTTGGTCCCTAAGTAGATATGGGGAGCTCTGCCCCAGCAGGCCTGGCTTGGGTCAGCGTATTCTTCACAGGTGACCTGTGACATCTCCAGGACTCATTGCTACCAGGTCTGCTTGCTGATTGGGCAACAGAACGGGTGTGGGAGTCACAGTTGGTTGTATGTGCTGTGCTGCCCCCTCCTTAAATATTGACTCTAGGGGTCCTGGTGCTTTATCCTGTCTTCTTGGCCATTAGGACCTACCACGTTAGGCCAGCCCAGCTGAGGCCCCACACCTGAGACCTGAGACCCAGGGAGCTGCTGTCCTGTTTTGGAATGTCCTGTTCTGGTGGAATTTTAAGGCTTGCAGTGTCATGTGGCCTCTGCTGCATCATGCAGCCCTCAAACAGATGAGCTAATGCTTGCACCCATCACAGCCCGCTGCAGCCATTTATATTTTTCTCTTTTCATAGTAAGGTGTAATTTACAAATCATTAAACACACCCATTTTAAGTGTACAATTTCATGAATTTTATAACTGCCACGCTGATCCAGAAATGAGGGGACTTCAGAAAGTTCATGGAAAAGGAAACATAAGTTTGTTTCAGTGCAAAAAATATGAAATACATGCACAGTTTTTCCATAATGTGCACTTTTCATGAACTCTTTAAAGACCCCTCTTATAAAACATTTCTGGCCCAGTAGAAGGTTCCTTCCTGCTCAGCCTGCTCCTCCTCCCACCCCTTCACTACAAACGTGTCAGCTGTTCTGGCTTCTGTCACCAGATTAGTTTCACCTGTCCTGGAACTTCATGTAGAGTCATGTGGTGTGTACTTTTCTTTCTTTCTTTCTTTCTTTCTTTTTTTTTAAGGTTTTTGCTATAAGGTACATGTGCTTGCTAGAGAGAGACAGAGAGGGAAAGTGAGGAATTACCCCTGTGGGGGATGGTCACACCACAATCCCCTCTCTCCCTCTCTTCTAGTCTCTCCTTAGGGTTTTAGGCATGCACACACATGCACCCAGCCTGATTTTCAAGCCACTGGGTCTAGGACTCAAACTGTGGTTGGCCATGTGGGAGTCTAGGGCCTTAACCACCACACCACCTGCTTGTCCCAGGTGTGTACTTGTTTTTTGGCCCATCTTCTTTCACACAACTCAATATCTGTGCAATTAACCCAGCTGTGTACATCAGTGCCTTTTAAATGGCTGAATGGAATTGGATGTGTTAGTTGGCTTGTCCAGCCTTCCTGTAGGACATCGGGGTTGTTTCTGGTGTAGGGATATGAACACTGCTGCTGTGAATGATTTTGCACATGTCTTTTTGTGGCCATGTGCTTTCATTTCTCTTGGGTAAATACGCAGAAGCAGGATTTCCAAGTCGTCAGGTAGATGATACTAACCAGCCAGGAGGTAATCAAATGTATGTTTTCATTCGTGTTTGTTCTACGTTTAATATAAAAAGACCACTTGTTGCCACAATTAGGACATGCCTTCAAGTGGGAGAATTCTGGAGTAAAGCCTGTCATTTACAAAGGTCGAGTGGCACTCTTAAAATTGCCCTTGTGCTCCTGGTTACATTCCTATTTTTTTTTAACTTTGATCCCTGCAAATTACTCCCATGATTATCCAGTGTGAAAGGACGTAGGTGAGATTTTGGACTTTAAAAAAAATGCGTGGAGTAGTGTACAGACCAGATTGAGCTGCCCATGGGGTTTTGACCTGCAAGTCTCTGGACAATGACCACTGAACACAAAAGCATGTTGGGCTGCCTGACTGCATGCAGAGTCTTACAGGGCGTTGGCTAAGTGATGGTGTTTCTCAGGTTGAAGGGAGGGCCGGAGGCCTCGTGTCAGAACTGGATGCTTCCAGTTCTCTGCACTCTTGGCATATAATTAAAATTTCACAAGAGAGTGGTTATTATCATTAGAACCTGGCAGCGCAGGTTGGCGGTGGTTTTGTTTCATTTTTTTCCTTTGTGGGTGTGGAGAGCAATTAAGAGAAAGTCAAA